CGAGGCTGGGCCCCGTATAGTACAAGACCTAGGTCAGGGTCCTATGATATAACCGAAAGGGGATAAAGGCGGGACAGGGTCCTGAGTCTAGGTCAGGGTCGGGCAATATAACCAAAAAGGGAAGGGGGCGCGACAAGGGTCGGGGTCTGGGTCAGGGTAACGTAATGTAACCGAAAAGGGAAAAGGTCAGGGTCGGACTCAGGGTCCGGTCATATAGACGAAAGGGGAAATATTGAGGGAGAGGGCCGGGACCAGGAACTTAGTCGTCAGGGGGCGGAATGGGGGTGGTAGTGTACAGGCGGACGACGGGGAAACGGGAGGGTAAGCAGAGGTCGCCGGGGACGGGAAGGGGATTGGAGTGTACACGAGGGCGACGAGAAGGAGTAGTCCAATGACGAAAAGATAGGGGGTGGGGCGTACCAACGGTAACAGAATCTGGCTCCTCAAAATCGCTGACTTCGCCCTCTGTTACGACAGGAGGCATCCCGGGTTGGGCGAGAATATCTGAATAGCCAGAAACGGAAGATAGCGATGGTGTCCGGAAGAGGGATGTGGGAGAACCAGGTGCAGAAGCGCGAGGTGATAGGGAACCAGACCATGTGGGAGTTGCAATGTCGGTGAAGGTTGTATTGACGTGTTGTTGGACTAATGCTGCAAGGCGGTATGGCGACTCACTTCTTGCAGACGATGTGCTGGGAGCCGCAACAGGGGCCTGCTGTAATTCCCTCCCTGTGAGTTATGAAAATTCCTTTCAATAGTAGAATTGAATGCGCACGTTCTCCTTGTCAGTGCGACCACTTCTATTCCCATGTCCTGCGAATGCCGGCACCAGGCCGGTGATCTTGCGTTTGACCGTCTCCCGGAAGTCCGCCAGGGACTGTGAGAGACCCCGCTTGCGCCTGGGGCTCATGCGCGATGAAGAGGTAGCTCGATTATGTGCTATTCAGTAATGATGTGAAGTTTGGTGGTATCGCAGAGGGCTCGCCGCCTCTCGAGGAGGTAGCCTCGTGGACTTAGTTACAAATCATATTTCTATGGATAAGTACTTGTATGCATTCACGGAAGTCCGATGTGACAAAAAGAGATCACATGATAATCACGTGATGGAGTCGAATCTTCGTTGGGCCAACCTTACGCGCTTGACAGGTCGTCAAGCGCCTTCTCTATTATGCGGATCCTCTACTCTGCGCTTTGCTAGTCTACATCATGTATATAAGCTACGGCTTCTTTTCCCTCGATAATCAGCTTCCCTGCTTCTCTCGATCACCCTCACGCTTGAACTCTAACAGACATACAGTACAAGTAGAGCCTCGGAGCGTGGAAGCACGTCGACCATTGAACCGCTTCGAAGACATGGTAGTGGGCGGAGCATGGAGGTATCACTAATAAACCATGCATACTCACACATGCGAGCGAGGCATCCATTCTGGATGCGTACCGTTAGTGGATCGCCCTTGCCATGGGTGTCGATATCGAAGCAAGGAGAGACCACATACGTCCAGGCGGCTGGAGAGAATCGGAGAATTCCGGGAGGCTGTGCAAACGCCGGACGCCTCGAGGCCGTCCAAAATTACTCTCTCCACTCCCCTTGAAGCTGTTCTTCTTTTCTTGGGAGCCCGACACGCGTTGTGGTGCTGCGCAGCCCTCCGAGGTGAAGATCAATGTCTTACTCCACGTCACCTTCATTGTCTGTGTGAGGATCAGTCAGCGCACGGCATTGTCTTCGACCACCACCATCTTGACTCGCAGGTGCACGGCCGCATCGGACCTCATTGACATCGAGCAGTTCTCTTCTGCTGTTTGTCACCCTTCTTCGTGCTATAGACTTGACTAGAGAATTGACACTTGCTGTTCAGGACACTTGTATCTGTACTAACGATCACTCACGAATCTGTATCATACGGATCACGGCCCCTATGACTTCGTACCGCAGGCTTCTCAGACCTCTCACCCTGCTGTCCCTCACAGCGATATCGTCATCAAGAACATTTATGGTTGTCAACTCATGCCCTTTTACGATATGGTCAGTCCTGTTCGGTGATGATACGCGTTGCTCGAGAGCTGATAATCAACTCAGGCCTGCTGTAGGTCACAAAGCCTTGAACTTTGAATCGTCGGCTCACCGGACGCTAGATTTTCACCGATCTCAGTGCTGGGACAGCAGTGCCAGACTTCCCGACAGGGTGAGTATGCTCGTTCCTAAACAAACACTGATACCGAAGTGCGTCTTTTTTTGTAGGTGGGAGGCACCACCGTCCAACTCTGTCTCTTTTGCCGTGCCCGACAATTGGAAAGCTGGCAGAATCTGGGTAAGCAGCAGCCTACACTACCTCCTAGAGTCCCTCACATCTCACGCTTCACACAGGGCCGTCGTGACTGTGATTTCGCGATAACCAGCGGGCCAACGTGTCTGGACGGTTGGTGCAATGGTGGTCTTGAGTGCGACCCACATACTGGAACAGTAAGCCATACCATCGAAAATATAAACATGAATCGATCTCAAGTTACCGTCCAGGGTGTCCCTCCTGTCACTGTTGCTGAATGGACCCTCCAAGGCGACAACAACCAGGACTTCTACGACGGTGTGTGATAGGTTTTTCCGCAACCCGCATCAACTACTCATCAACGCACCAGTATCTTTGGTTGACGGTTTCAACTTACCTGCGGAGATCACTTTTGCAAACGGAGTCAATTGCCCTACTGCTGGATGCCCTGTAGATCTCGTAGCTAACTGTGCGTACATTCCAAACGTACTTGCTCTCGCAGCACTGTCCTCATCTGCGTGGACTTCAGGTCCTAGCCAGTTGAAGGGCCCCTTTGACTCGAATGGCTCTGCAGTCGGGTGCAAGAGTGCTTGTGACGCAAACCTCGATGGCAATCCAAGTGAGTAATCTTCATCGATATCTGCAGTCTAGGAGCTTGGGTCGTCGACACACGCCACATAGATGACTCGGCGAACTGCTGCACCGGTAGCTTCAACAGCGCGGCGACTTGCCCACCGTCTGGCGTACAGTTTTACAGCTACTTTAGTAAGGCTCACGCAGATTCACACTTACTCAAGTATATGTTGATATGCTTATTTCATAGAGGGTAATTGTCCAGATGCGTACGCATACGCGTTCGATGAGTCGAGCAATACTGCGCTGTGGACGTGCAGTAGTGGGCTTAATGCCGACTACACACTCACCTTTTGCCCGTATGTCCTGCCCGACTGTGTGCTGGTACCGGATCACTGAGAGAGACGCAACCATAGCCCTGGGGGAACTTCCGCCAATGCCGCCTCTGGGTCAGCAGCGGCCTCAGGTACAGCCACAGGAGGAACGTCTGGGACACCAACAAGCACCGACATCTCGACAATAGCCTCACAAGCAAGCACAACTGGGACTCCGCCATCCAACGCCTCGTCCCAGGGACCCACCATCAGCGCGGCGCGTCCCAACAGTGCCGCTTTCCCAGGACTCAAGGTTCCATCGGTGTCCCTTCTGGTTGGAATGGGAGCTGTGGGAGTAGCTTTTGTCTAGATTCCGTCCACGGGTGTGAGGCAGACGCTGTCTGATTGGGTTTGTACGACGCATCCCGTATTGATGTACAATAGGTGATATGTCATCCGAACGAGCGATGTCAACACCGACAGCCCGAAGACCGTCGTGCTCATCTCGCTGTTTGTGTTCTCGTCATAGGCATGAATGATCGTGGAAGAATCGTCTAGGTGACGTGTCATCACCATCCCAGTTTTGTGGCAGGTTGATGCTGATATGGAATGCTGGACTTCTGATCTCTGGCGGCATCCCGTCCTCGACAACAGGTGATGAAGGTTCTATCATCAATGGCTGTGTATGACCGCACGCTATGCGGACCTCCCATCACCGACAGCGACACTGGCTTCGACGACTTTGTGCATGGGAAGGGTCACGGTCTTTTCATTAAGCTCTTCGGCCCACCTGGTGTTGGAAAGACCCTGTCCGCCGAAGCGACTAGTGAGCATGTCCGACGGCCGTTGTACGTTGTCGGGGCAGGGGACCTGGGTACAACGGGCGCCTTCCTAGATGCGGAACTCGATTGCGTGTTGGATATAGCGACTAGCTGGAACGCGATTGTCTTTATCGACGAGGCGAGTCGTGATCACTGTATGCGTGTGCTGAAAGCTGACATTGTGAACGGCTCGCATCGGCGTCAGGCGGACGTCTTCCTCGAACAGCGTTCTCTCCATGATATGGAGCGCAATGCGATGGTCCCGGTTTTGTGAGCGCCTGCTCTCTAATGTCACTCTGGAGCTTACGCCATGTCGAGTAGTACCGCGGCATCCTCTTCATGACCACCAACCGTGTCAAGACTTTCGACGAGGCCTTCCTCTCCCGTATTCATGTCGCACTCCACTTCAACGAGCTCACGAAGGATGCACGCAAGCAGGTCTGGACGGTGTTTCTCAAGAAGGTCGGTGTGGACGTACCCGCATTCGGGGAGCACCTCGTCGACAGGCTCGCGGAACACGAGGCCAATGGGCGGCAGATCAAGAACGCGGTGCGGACCGCGAGCTCGCTCGCGGCAAGCAAGAATGTGCCGCTTAGCTTCAAGCACCTGACAGACACGCTGGACGCGATGGACGGGTTCACTCCGGAGGTCCAGGGGATCTCGCGACGCTGATTGTGAGAGCGCCAGGATTCCAGGGCATGTAGATACTGGCCTTCAAGTCGCGCTCTGTGGTGGCTTCTTCCCAGAGTCATTCGACATGGATTGGTTCCATGTGCCTTCTACAAATAAGCACTCACGGCCGCCCATACATAGGTATGCAATTATATGCAGGCGGCTGAGTCACATGATGTATCAGGTCGTGGCATCGCCCCGCCAGTGATGCTACTGATTGGACGAGCATATCAAGCGGCCTGTTGATTGCGCCTTGGGATCTACTTACATTGTCCCAGGCCAAGTTGACACCAACCGCTATCATACTAGAGGTCAGCAACTGGGACATCTTCCGGTATGACATCGATGTCGATGACATGACAGCCATACTGACCGGCGACTCTGGTGCTACAGTCGATCAAAAAATGCGAATGCTGGACACAGATACTGGGCGATTCGTTGATATCACCGATTGGCGGAAGGCCCGATATGCCATCCTCTCTCATACTTGGGAGGGCGCAGAGCAGACGTGCCAGGAGGTGAGGGAGATTCAGAAGAAGTACGGACCGGATGGTCGCCGTCGAGCTCCAGGGCCCTCCACTACTCCCCTATCCCCCGACACCGCACACACTACTCAGGGCTTGAACGCGGAATCGTCCGGCTCTCAGGTGAGGATCGAGGACATCGCTTGCATCTGGAGCGACTCTGCACTGTCCCAGAAGGTTCGTAGAGCTTGCGAGGTAGCGCGCTCCCATGGGTATCGGTACCTCTGGGTCGATTCATGCTGCATAGACAAGACGAGCAGCTCAGAGCTATCCGAGTCGATTAAGTGGATGTACGTCTGGTACCGGGACGCAAGCGTTTGCTATGCGTACTTGTCGGACGTCGAGATGGATCCGGAGCAGGATACGGTGAAGCTCAGGCTCCGCGTCAGCCGGTGGTTCACACGGGGTTGGACGCTACAGGAACTCATCGCTCCGCGGTATATCGTCTTTCTCTCGAAAGAGTGGCAGATCATCGGGACGAAGACCACCCTTGTCGCAGACATCGAGCTCGTCACTGGTATCGAGAACGACATCCTGACTCACACGAAGTCACTCGACGAGGTCCCCGTGGCGCGGAGGATGTGCTGGGTAGCCACCCGACAGACGACGCGAGTGGAGGACGAGGCGTACTGCCTACTCGGCATCTTCGACATCAATATGCCTACCCTTTACGGAGAGGGAGAGCGTGCGTTGCGGCGGCTGCAGGAGGAGATCTTGCAACGAATTCCGGACCAGAGCATCTTCGTGTGGGACGCTGTCCATCCGTACACATTCCGCTTCTTTGAGGCGTCTGATGGCGCGACGGATGATGCTCACTCAGGGCTGGACCTCACGAGTCTCCATCCTACCATCTTTGCTCAGACCTTCCATGAGTTCTTCTGGGCAGGATATGTGTCGCCCGTGCCTCATGACTTATGTCAACGCTACCTCGGACTGACAGAGCTTGACTACCCTCCACCAGACTACACTCAGTCTCCCTACGGCCTACGCACACGCTTTCCCATGCTATCCATCGCGAAATGCTTCCCCTCCCGACCTCTCCGCGCTGTCGATCCCAAGGGCTTGACTCTTCAATGCTGATTCCTGGCCATCCTAGGATTTAAACTCGATTTCCACCAGGGCGAACACCTTCTCGTCCGCCTCTGCTACCTGAACCCGCACAAGTCCGGAGCAGATGTCCTCATGGGCGTTGGGCAGTGCTGGAAAAGAGCGGCCAACCAACGTGCGGACCTCTTCGTGCTGACGCTTGACGACATTGCGCGTTACCGATCCCATCTGGAGGTGAGGGTGGTGTACATACCCCGTCCCAACCGCGCGCGAGCAAACGAAGCCCCTCGCATTCCGCAAGAGGTGCCCTATGTCACGCTGTCCCCGTGGACTCGAAGGATATGCTTAGTCAGCTCGTAGTATATCTGCCTCTCGCTGTACGCCACTTGTTCCTCATGCGTTTGCAGAGCTCAGCCAAACGCAATATACTGTGTTATCGTTCTTACGGCCCCCTCGCGAACTTCAACACCTTGTCAATATTGATGCGGGAGATGACAATTGTCGGTTGACTGGTTCCCAGACACAATGGGGACGCAAGAGACGGGGAACGTTGGAACACGCTGAGACGAAGACTTACCACATGCCGTAGATACGGAAGCCCTTGCAGACATCCGTCATGGCAGATAGTGCGGTCCATTTATTGTACACGAGACATGCACGAATTGCACAGGATGAGGTACAAGTTTGCTGGTGCTTTGTGCGGATATCAGAATGGGTCCGCGCGAGAAGGCAGACGGCGTAGACGTGCCTGGGCTGTAAACGACGGGTTTGCCTTGATAGCATAACAACGGGGCATGCATGGACATACCTGAATGGCCGCTACTAGGTGAAGACGCACCCGCTTCGACCTATGACTGTCATCCTCGAGGCGCGACTTGCCTATCTCCAGATCTTCAGGTCGTCGAGGGCCGCGGCCAGTGCACGAGAAGCACGCGCCGCTGTCAAGGTGTTATCGCCCGAGGAGATGGAGGTGTACGTCGGATCGATCAGAAGGTCAGGGCTTGCAATAGACTCATGCTACGCAGAGGCGTGAGTAGCTGCAGGGGTGGACATGAGCACGGCGGGCACGTGGCAAGCGCAGGACTTCGGATTATGGCTCTGCTTCTAGAGCATCGCTACAGTATATACGGCCTCGTAAAGCATATTCCAGGAAGCTACAGAGGATGTTGAAAGTATGGGGTGTTACGTGTTGACAGGTAAAGGAAAGAATATGGCCGCGTCCAGTCCGTCATGTCGGCGCTTAGAGTACCACCATACTCATTGATATCCCGTCAGGTTCAGGTTCGGTTAATTCCTGTCCTACCGCCTTCACCTCGCTTTCACGAGCACTCGACCACTGTACTGCGAACCTGGCTGGCTACAGCTCCTCAGAGCTCCTCTGGCAGACTCGCAGAGTCGGGTGTGCCTGCTTAGAGCCGAAGGCTATGTTCACGAAGATCACTCACCAGTGCACGACTCTTCCAATGGAATCCTTTTTAGACTCCCGGATGCGATCAGGTTGGAAACCTGGATTCGAGCTTCATGCCTTCGTCGTTATGCCATTCACTCTGCCTCACCACTAGGAGGCGTGCAGACCACTAGCTGTTGAACGTGAACCCTTGCCTCCCCACCGTTCTCTGGGTGAGTCCAGAGCATTACTTCATCTGCATGTTGATTTGCATTGAACATGACTTGGTCTCTTTCCCAGAATCATGCGTCTGCTCAATACCCTTACCGGACGATTCGTGGAGGTGCACGACCCGAGCAGCGCCGAATATGCAGTCCTCTCACACACATGGGACCAGAACGGGGAGCAATCCTATCACGACGTCCGCCAGATCCAAGGCTCTTTCTACATTGCCATCGAATCCGTCGTTGCTTGGGCTTTCTTAGAGCTGTGGTGGCGATTCCTCTTCGCACTCTCCATTCTTCTCCAGACACCTCGCCCTCTGAAGCGTCTCTTACCACGAGCTAAATCCCGGCCGACCAGGGAATCCATCATGGTTTTACCTGGTACGTTGGCAGACATAGGAACGTCTCACAAACATGTGGATGCGGCAAGCCGGCTGCGACGGGCCGCCGAGGATATCCGCAGCTGGAACACATTCCGGTTCTCTCCAAGGCTCTCCATAAAGATCCGCAGAGCGTGCGCCGTCGCGCGAGCATACGGCCATCGTCTCATATGGATCGACTCATGCTGTATCGACAAGACGAGCAGTTCGGAGCTTTCAGAGTCCATCAATTCGATGTATGCATGGTATCGCGACGCTACTGTCTGCTACGCCTTCCTCGCCGACGTCTCTAGTTCTGCTTCGCGCGGTTCGCTCGATCCTCGTTCCTGGACTTCCACGGTAGCGTTCCGGAAGAGCAGGTGGTTCCGCAGAGGCTGGACCCTCCAGGAGCTGATTGCGCCGAGGGTCGTCGTTTTCCTCTCAACGGAGTGGCAATTCCTCGGGACGAAGTCTAGCCTGGCCGAGGTCATCGAAGAGGTCACAGGTATCTACGGGCCCGTGTTGCGGCAACAAATGCCATTGTCAGATGTCCCTGTCGCAAAGCGGATGTCGTGGGCAGCGAGACGCGAGACTACAAGGAAGGAGGACGAGGCCTACTCACTTCTCGGTATCTTTGACATATCCATGTCTCCGCTCTACGGAGAAGGCGCTCGTGCGTTCGTGCGTCTGCAGGAGGAGATCATGAAGCGCATTCCCGACCAGACGCTCTTCGCTTGGGCTGTGTCCGACCAAGATGCCCACTGGCTCCACTTACCTCTCTCCCCGAAGTTCAAGGATGAAAACTCGTACGCAGTGCAACCGGTGAGGAACAACTACCCCGCATTCTTCGCGCCATCGCCACGGTCATTCCGCAACTCCAGCGGTGTTAGTCCTGTGTCCCATGACGTCTTTGTCGAACGGGCAGGATTTGACTCTCCCCTCCCGAGCTACACTTTGACTCCTTACGGCATTCATACCTCCTTCCCCTTAGTTCCCGCCAACTCTTGCTTCCCACCAGGCCTACTCGACCAGCCGCTCGAAGGCTGGTACTTTGCCATCCTTGCCTGCGAGCTCGAGGGGCGAGAAGGCAGCCTGCTGGCCGTCATCTGCTCTGCTGAGTCCTCAGCGAGCGGGTCCACGCTCCTCAACGGCGCATGTATCAGCATGGCCACCAGCCCGAAGCTCCTGCACCGCACGACGACCATCAACTACAATAGAGGAAGCGAACATCGTATCGTCATCGTCGATTCTACGCTCCTCCGAGATCTCTTAACGCGCTCGCGACACCTCCCCGTCAACACGAGCATGGCTTACGTCCCAGTCGAGAACCCGCCGCCGTCGAGCCGGGCATGGTACGCCTGGTCGGGGACCGTGCAGCTCACGGAGTGGAGCACAACGATCCTGCGGCAGCTCGGCTACGCCGTATCGTGCTCTATGGATAATGATAGCTGCCACACGCTCGCTCTTGCCAAAGGTGCTACGCGTCTCAGCATCCGGCACCGGCGCAGCAGGCCGCAGGACCCGCAAGATCCCTTCGTTGACGTCTGGGTCTCGTCCTATCATCTCGCGCCGCGTCCGTCTGTCACGCTCGACCTCCGCAAGATCCGCGATAGCCAGGAATACGCTTTCGAGGCGCCGTCGGGGCGGTGTGTCGTCCTGCGCTTCACGCTGTCGTACATGTTCATCTCGTTCTTCTTGGACGTCGAGGTGTTGGATGAGCAACCTGCGCTACCCCGCGCGCTTACCGCTACGACGCTCTACGATCCGGACGACGCTCCGCCAGTGTGGGCGGATAAGAAGTAATGGACAGGGAGCATGTGGGACGCATACCGCCTTTTTTTCCTCCATCCCTCTCATCGTCGTCGTCGCCTTCTCTTTCCCCCTCCCTTCCTTGAGGTCACTCCCTCGGGCAGCTCAGTTCATTCCATAGCTGAATGACCTCAGAGATCGTTCATCCAGCACCGCCTTTGACGTATTCATGAAGTTCCGACAAGAGTGAGTCGTTCTACTTGGAACATACTCGGCTTGCTACTACATCGCTTCTGTCGCAAGCTATGCACAAGGCAGGGCGATGTAGCTGGGGTGCCCAGATAGCGCGACTATAGTATTCCAGGTCGGACCCCTAGAAATTGCTACCTGCCCTTGCAACTCTAGGACGTCGCTACCACTAGCACGCCCTTTCAGATCGTTTTCGTTCCTCGTGTATCACTGTATGCGTCTTCATGCAATGCACAAGTAGATATATAACCAGGTATCGCAACGCCAACCATACATGACCTCGAAATAAGCTTCGGCATGAACTCGGCGCTCCGGATACCGGAAAGGACATGTTGACAATCTACAGCTGATGTAAAAACCAGCGTCGCAGTCCCCGCGCCCGGGGATGTGCTCGGATCACCGGAAAACCCCGGCCGAGCCCCAGCTATACCACACCGAGGACATTGCCCGACTCTGGTCCACTGCTGGAAGCACCCGCACACAGCGGGAATCTGCATGGGAAGCATTCCATGCAGAATATTGTGTGTCCTGTAGCTCTGAAACCACGTAGAATGAGGCGGGGCACACTTCGCGCAGTCACGGCGAGCCTGTCCCCTGACTGGGAGGTGGCCGGAGCGCTGGCTTGAGGGGCTCGGCAGGGGGCTGCCGCTGATCCGAGCACAGGGAGGCCTGGGGGAAACGCGACGCTGGTTTTTACATCAGCTGTAACGCTGCCCTATTTTGAGTAGGCTGGGCTATGCATCGATATGATCACTACCCGAATGTCGACTATATATGAAGGTAGTCCCATGTCTTTATTTCGTGCGCTTTTCAAGCACCTGTCCAGACTTCACTGCGTACGCCATCTGTTGCAGATAAAGCTCCCATTTTACAATTTTCTGTACGGTAAGGGCCGTTTGTCTCACGATTGCTCAGCCATTAATCTTGATTTGCAGTGACTTGACGCCATGCGCGTGCTCGAGACGTCGACGGGTCGATTCGTCGATGTCAATCCTATTGAAGTCGAGTACGCCATTCTATCCCACACCTGGAGCGAAGCGGGGGAGCAGTCGTACCAGGACGTGATCCAATTGCACAAGTCCTTGGAGCGCAGGAGGGCGTCCATCATCCGAATGGCGTACGCTGAAGTGACTTGGCGGTTCCTGGTCGCGCTGACGTTCCTCCTCCACCTCCTTTGCATCGCGATCAGCAGTCGCCATTTGACGAGCCCCATGCTCTGCTACGTGCGCGAGCCGGGAAGGACACGCGTAGCGAGAGCCCTGAGGCGGTACGTCGAGTGGCTGAAGATCGTGACATCTCTCTGCCGTCCCCTGGACACGATCCTGGACAACCCCATGCTATCGGAGAAGATCAGGAAGGCGTGCGGCGTTGCACGAGCCCATGGGCACAGTCTCATCTGGATCGACTCGTGCTGTATCGACAAAACGAGCAGTTCGGAGTTATCAGAGGCCATCAACTCCATGTACTCCTGGTATCGCTACGCGTCTGTGTGCTACGCGCACCTTGCAGATGTTCCGGACGGCACTGTTGTCACGCAGGGCAGCGCCAACGAGGTGTTTCGCCAAAGCAGATGGTTCAGGCGAGGCTGGACATTGCAGGAACTTATCGCTCCTCGCATTGTGATCTTCGTCTCTGCGCAGTGGACTTTCCTTGGGTCGCGCTTTGCCTTGGCAGACCTCTTACAGGACATCACGGGTATAGACAGTCATGTCTTGACCCGTCAGCTGGAGCCAAAAGACTTTCCCGTTGCAGTCCGTATGGGCTGGGCCGCCTGCAGAAAGACAACGCGGGTAGAGGACGAAGCATACGCACTGCTTGGTGTCTTTGGCCTTCACATGCAACCCATGTATGGAGAGGGCGAGCGTGCGTTCATCCGGCTCCAGGAAGAGATTCTGAAGCGAATCCCGGATGCAACCCTTTTCGCATGGGGGCGGACGATGCACTCCACCATGGCTCTCTACATGGACGGAGAAGACAAGTTCGCTGAGAACTGTCAAGGATACGGTCCACCCCTTCTTTCCGCTGCCTTTGATCGTGAAACGAGCTTCTTTGCGCGTTCACCCTCTTCCTACCAGAAGCGCGGTTCACGTTCAAGATATTCCCCTATCTCTCAGGAGACCCTGCTCGCCAGACTGGGGCTCAGTGATGGCAGTGCCTATCCTTTCACGGACTACGCAGAAACGCCTTGCGGGACTCGCCTACACATGCCGCTCATCGCGATCGATCCTGAACCGATGTCACGCTTCCTCAGCAGCTACGGCGACGACAGCTTCCTTGCCATCCTCGCGGTAGAGTCCGATGACCATCCGGGATATCTCATCGCGCGGCCTTGCTTCGCTCGGATCCCAGGACCCTCGAGAACTATACGAATTCTCCGACCAGGCCATATCACAGTCCACCGACGTACGCCTACGTCCTGGAGTGGAGGAGCTCGGGAGACAACCTCTTCATTCGACATAATCCCTATCAATCCTAATGACATCGAGCGCTATCGCTCGGACATGTGCTGCGAGCCTATACACATTCCGAACGCCAGGCCTCTACCATCCTTCTTAGGCTCGGCACATGGCTACAATGCCGAAGAGGCGAATGTCGCGCTATCGCCGTGTAGCGCTACGATTCTCCGGACGCAGGGATACTCGATCATGGAGCGTGATCTAGATCTACACGACTCCGAGGATGGGGCTACACGCCGCGCTCTCATAGAGTTGTCAAGAGATGACGAGGTTATTTCCATCGAATACGAGTACCGCATGCGCACCCAGTCCGGACCACATATGCGAGCCGACGTCCAGGCGGCGCGTTTTCCGTGGGCGATATCTCTGAGTGGTCGTAACCCCCGACTACCACTGTTCAAGCCAGGAAAGCAAATACGAGGACTACGCTCACCGACATCCTTCGTCGTCAACGGCCCAGCAGGCGAACACGCCTTGGTGCATCTGACTCTGGAGTCCTCGTTTAAGTGTCCAGCGCAATGGCTCTTGGATGTCGAGGTGACGGGAGCCGCTATCCTTGGAAGGTGGGGATACAGTTGATGTGCTGGCTGTGCGGTTCTGGGGTGGTCTGCCGAGAGGACTCAAGAACGCCGAAAAGGATCGGCTGGCCAAATGTGGAGATGCTGTAGGGCTTAGACTGCATGTTCCTAGTGACGCTCGTCTGCCTTAGCTTTGGCTCTTGCAGAATGTAGGGAATACAGTCACATGGCTTGTCGAGCTAGAGGAGGTGCGTCAGCGAGAACCGTCTTGGTCTCTGAATGAAGGTGGCTGTCACCGCAGCATGTCGTGTGGCACGAGCGGACGTAACGCACGCGGTTTGAAGCACTTTAGGGCTATAGAAGAAACCGGCTTCTCATCTGTAGCAATAGAGGAGTATTTGAGCACATGTGCATCGGTGTAGATGTTGGACCCGTCGCCCCGAACCTAGTCTGCTCTTATACCAGGAAGTAAGACTGATGGATTTGGTTAGTTTACATGGAGTACGCCTGCGTTAACCATCGGCAGGAGGTCTATATTCGGAAATATACGTAGAAGGAATTTGGTGACGAGCTCTGTCTCCTTCCTCGAGAAAGAGACCCCCGCCACCCACAGGTCGCGTAACTCTCCCTGAGAACATGACGTCCTCGCCATCTCCGACCTGAGAGAGGTGAGGTCTTGGCTGATCGGGAGTCGAAGCGTTGTGAGTCCTGGACAGCGATATGCGAAGGCGGGTAGGGAGGTTATCGGTGGTCGAGGTACTGTTGTTCGTCCTCCACGAAATGCCACCTCAAGGATTGCCAGGGACGACCATGAACATGCCATAGTGTCAAGGTCCTCGTTGGTTAGCGCGACGCCTGCTGGGTCCTCGATAGTGATCGCGCATTCGCGCAGCTGCCGGACGGTAAGCAGCGGCTTGATATACTGCGCGAACGGCCGCGCGCGGTCCGGAACCCCGATTCCCGACCGAACACACTCAATGTGAAGTGTCCGGAGCGACGTTGAGAAGCGCACGCTGAGGACGGACGCGCATCGTGTCCAGCCGTCCGTGTCGTGGTCAGGGACGGTGACGGAGAGGGACACAGTGTGCAACATCGGCGAGTCTACAGCATGGAGGATGTCCCCGATCTCCACCGGAGCGCCTGCCACGCGGAGAACTTCTAGCACAGACAGGGTTGGCATGCCGTGTCGTTCATCTCCGCGCTGCGATCGTACGCCCTGGTCGTCAGAGTCAGCTGAACGCCGAAGGATGATGGAGAGCGACGCGAGGCGCGGCATTTTGCTGCAATATATGAGGATGTTTGACATGGAAGTGAAGACCGAGCCGAGGTGAAGGACGCGAAGGTGGTTGAAGATGACGGGCGCAGCGAGGCGAGCAGATGCCTGGAAATCCACGCCTTCGAGGGAAAGCTCTTCCACGCAAGGCGAGCAGACGTCGAGGATTCCAAAGAGGCCAGCGTACCCCTCTAAGACGTCATGCCTTCCTTGAGTGAGCGTGCCTGTCCAGGGTGAAGGTGAAGCGGCTTGGACGTAAAGCGTGACACGGCGCAAGCTCAAGGATAGGAATGGAAGACATTGTGCGACGTTAGAAAACTGCAACCAAGAGAGCTCATGAAGGTTGGGGAGGATAGTCGTTCTGCAAAGCGAGGCATGGTGGACCAGCGCCGAGAATGCCCGACCACCTAGTCGCTGTGCTGGCCCTTCTGCGTAGTGGTAATGAAGCTTCCTGATTCGCTGAGCATATTGCAGAAACCGAGACCACTCCTCACTTTCAATTGACCCTCGATAGACCTGTTCTTGTCGTGCATAATAGGGATGAGCTCATGCTTCATAGGAAGCGCAAGTGACGTACAAAGGTAGGGCCAGTGCCACCTTCCTTCCCTTCCTCAGAAAATGAACGTGGTAATAACCTAAATAGCGGGACGAGGCCTGAGATTTTGCGCCAGAGAGCATCAAGCGCAGGTTCACTGAGGGCTCGGGAGGTACGGGCGCAGCTCGCCAGCGTGCTCTCGCACCCGAAGGATATGTGGTCCAGGATATTGCGAAGGATCTCGTCGATGTACCATATCTGGTGAGTGCGAGGAATATCGCCTTGCTCGGTGAGTGTTGTCATACCGTACACTAAGAGTCAACGAGGACTAGGATGGATGTTGATGTCTCGACAAGCTAGGTATATATGTCAGCTCCTTTCGCGACCTTTGGAATCAGGTATCGATGCTCACCACTAAACGAGCTCTACGATGACGCCGCAGGCTGCGGAGAACCCGTACAGTCACGCAAAGGCGGGCAGTAGTAAGGAAGCCAGCGGGCCCGAGGATCCCACCGAAGGAATACGGCATCATTATAAAGAGTGGTGGAAGGCTTCCCAGTGCGAGCATCTGTCAAAATAGTCTTCGGACTCCTCAAAACTCGTATCACTTTTGCTTCGACGCTGGGTTATTCCATGGTCTTCCTGTTGAGCGACGATTGGACACGTAGTGTAACGACTCGAAGGGTGCCCCTCCACTCCACCTCTGACACACAGACATTATCATCCATGGGAGGGACCCTGTAGTCTGGAGTGACTGGTGGGGATTGGTCAAATCTTGGGTATGGTTTGACGTAAGAGATGCCTCCTGCTGATCGAAGCTGGGTACGTGCTCCGGCTTGCCGTTATTTCTCGAACTGAGGAGTAAGCTTCCGAGAGAGACTGCAACCCAGAGCTAAGGGTCCTGCGTCTCAAGGCTGTCCGCTCGCTCCTGAAACACGGAAAAGTGGTAAATTATGCTGTCGGCCGCTGACTTCTGGGAAGAGAAGATCGGCGTCGAACTCAAGTGAAACGCGTGCACAAAACTCACAAAGCTGCATTAGACCACCGTGTCCAGATGCCAGGTTATCAGTATGCTGGTCTTACGTGCTGGTGAGGTCAATAAACTCGAACAATATGATCCGATGGTGTGATGGAGCATATAAGACCATGGGAGGTGCGTGGAGCGTGAAGCCTAAAGGACTTAATATTGCATGGAAGGCTGGCGCTGATTGTTGGCTAACCGCCCTACGGTCGAGGTCGTTATACCTACCGTCCCAAACGTCCTGCTCTCCAATCCCTCACTATGAGCCATTGCTAGCCATCTGTACGCTGTAAACAGCCATGAACCTTGGTCGCACAGACCGGAGCAGCAAATATTCTCTTACCTTACTATGGGTCATGTTCCCAAATAGGAGAGTATGACTACTTCGCCAGATATATGGTCAGCGGTGGGGAGTAGTCGCGGCGGTGAGGAGAACTCAGGAGTTGGTCAAGACGGTGCATCGTGCCAAGGAAAAAGTGCTCAATGTCAGCGGGCGCTTGCAGGGCACGGTGTTTCTACCGTTCCACGACCTGCTCGACTCCCTCCTCTTCGACTCGTTTTTACCGTCTTCGTGAATCAAGCGATCGTAATGGAAAAGGCTGGGCCCTCCAAACCTGTGAAAATGAAGAAGGCAAAAAAACCTCAAGACGCAAAGCTGAAGACAAAAAAGGTCAGGCGGGCGAACGAGGCGAAGGCTATTGCGGACTTAGAGCAGGCAGCTCTACACTTTGTGAGTCGTCTTCGACCGGGAAGCGTCCTGTTACTCATTAACACAGATTGACTTGTGATAGGAGCCACCATCGGACCTGAAGGCCTTCGCAGACCTCCCCATCTCTGACCTGACCAAGCGAGGTGCGCCTTCCTTGACACTGTCTTCTGCCTGTCCCTCATTCAATGTAACAGGACTTAAGCGTGCGCACTTCGTCGACATGACGGACATCCAATCCAAAAGCATTCCCACCTCCCTGAAGGGCAAGGACGTTCTCGGTGCAGCTCGTACGGGCAGCGGGAAAACGCTTGCGTTCCTCATCCCGGTGCTGGAGATTTTGTATCGTCGGAAGTGGGGACCACAGGATGGGCTTGGCGCGCTGATCATCACCCCCACAAGGGAACTGGTAAGTCAGTGGCCTGTCCGTGTGTCCACATCTTGCCAACGCCCTACAGGCCGCCCAAATATTCGAAGTGCTACGTTCCATTGGCGGATATCACAGCTTCTCTGCGGGACTCATAATTGGAGGGAAAAATCTGAAGGACGAGCGGGAACGACTTTCACGCATGAACATTCTTGTCGCGACCCCAGGGCGACTCCTTCAGCACATGGACCAGACGATAGGTTTTGAATGTGACAATCTGCAGTTACTAGGTGCGTTCTCGATTCTCGCGAGAAATGTGCCTATCCCTACACGGTTCTAATACTTGTGCTCGGATATCAGTTCTCGACGAAGCGGATCGGATACTGGACATGGGCTTCCAGCGCACCCTCGCTGCTCTGCTCTCGCACCTTCCCAAGTCCCGACAAACCCTCTTGTTCTCTGCCACTCAGACGCAGTCAGTAGCCGACCTCGCGCGTCTCAGTTTAAAAGACCCTGTCCCCGTCGGTATCGAAGAAACTCTAACGGAAGGCGCGACGCCCAAAGCGCTTGAGCAGCACTACGTTGTCTGCGAGCTAGACAAGAAGCTCGATGTGCTCTGGAGCTTCATCAAAAGCCACCTCCAGACGAAGACGCTAGTCTTCCTCTCGAGCTGCAAGCAGGTGCGCTTCGTGTTCGAGACGTTCTGCAAGATGCATCCGGGCGTCCCACTCCTGCAGCTGCACGGGAAGCAGAAGCAGATGACGCGCCTTGAGACGTTCAAGCGGTTCACGTCCATGAAGCACGCCGTACTGTTCGCGACCGACATCGCCGCGCGCGGCCTTGACTTTCCGTCCGTCGACTGGGTGCTGCAGGTCGACGCACCCGAGGACGCGGACACGTACATTCATCGCGTGGGGCGGACGGCACGGTACGAGAGCGCGGGCAAGGGCTTGCTGCTGCTCGCGCCCAGCGAGGAGGAGGGCATGCTCGCGGCACTGAAGAAGAAAAACATCGAGGTCCAAAAGATCAAGATCAAAGCGAGCAAGACTCAGAGCATCGCCAACTCTCTCCAGAACCTCGCGTTCCAAGATCCTGAGATCAAGTATCTTGGTCAGCGGGTACGTTTGCCATGAATAACTTGCCGTCAGGTCATAGTACCAACATCGTTGTGTCTGTTCATCAGGCGTTCGTATCGTACCTGCGTTCTGTGTACCTGCAGAAGGACAAATCGATCTTCAAGCTAAACGAGCTACCTGTCGAGCGCTTCTCTGAGGCGCTTGGACTCCCTGGTATGCCGAAGATCAAGTTCCTCAGCAGAGAGATGGCGAAGAAGAGGAAGAATGCGTCTCGGGCAGTCGCAGGTGCTGGCCCGTCTTCAGCAGGCCCTCAGAGCGATGAAGAGGGGAGCGATGACGACGGGTCGGAGACTTCGGGAGATGAAACTTCCGATGAAGAGGAAGAGGATAGCTCCCCTGTTGTCGCGTCCACGAGTACTGGCGAGCAGAAGGTGCGTCCTATACACGCAGTGGGACGGTCCCAGTGACTGACCGTGATCTCAGCCAAATCGTGTGCGAACCAAATACGATCGACTGTTCGAGCGCAAGAACCAGAACATCCTCTCCGAGCACTACAATAAGCTAGTAGACCACAGTGCCGACGGTGCTGGCAGTGACTCGGACGACGACTTCATCACACTCAAGCGGGCGGACCACGAGCTTGAAGACGATGCCTTGCGCGAGTCTGAGTACAAGTCGAAGAGGCAGCAGAAGACGGCGCTCTCCAAAAAGGCGCTCGCTAAGAAGGGCCCGAGGGGACACAAACTCGTTTTCGACGATTCGGGTCAAGCGCACGAAATGTATGAGTTGAAGGATACGCAAGAGGTGTTTAAGGATGCGGATGAGGTCATGGAAGCCGGGCGACGGTTCGCGGAGAGCGAGCGCGGGAAACTGAAGGAAGCGGATGTTGCGGACAAAGCAGAGGCGAAGGAAAAGAAGAGGGAGAAGAAGCGGAAACGCAAGGAGCGCGAGCGCGAGGTATGCATCCGTTCCCGTCCAGTCACAAGATATTGCGGCTCTAACATCCTACTTCCAGGGTGAGGGTGCCCACGATGAGGACGATGGCGAATATGCTGCTGGACCGGTGGTAGTGGACTTCTCGGAAGACGACGGATACGTCTCTCCTGAGTTTGACCTCCCGTTGGCTCCAGACGACGAGAGTGAATCGGAGCGACCCCCTGCGAAGAAGTCACGAACGACAGCGGCTCATGCGCAATCAGCGTTGGAGGCAGAGGAGGAGCTGGCTCTGAAGATGCTTCGTCGCAGGTAGTTGGTGTGTATCGTACTACTGTAGTAACTCCCCCGATGAGTGTCATCCTACCAGCTCATCGGTCATCAATTGAACCGTAGTCAGATGCCCTGGCTGGGAGCAATATGTTTCCCACACATCCGAAAAACATGGCCTCAGCCCCAAAGGTATCGTGGCTCAGCGCTCAGGCCTCAGGACTGTCCTTAAGACAACTGCTCATCATCTGCCACTTTGACGGCCTGGCGTATTCACATTACCCCCTTAACTAGGGCAGCGACTTTTCCTGACACACCTCATCCCCGAGGCTCATGCACCGATCCAGCACCGGTTGCAGCCCTTCCTGTCGACGTCCGCTAGTAGCGGATTTCATTTATCCGATCGTTAGCGCGGTCCGGTCCGGGATGCCACCTCGGACTTGGGTGGGACTTCGGCCCAGTGCATGCACTTACCCGGATACATACATATGAACGATGCTGGAAGTGGTTGAGTTCTTTGATTTGTATCGACACAGGAGAAGGGCAATGATGCAATCAACGGGCAGGGCGTACCTTAGTGCCTTACATAAGCACCTTGCGATCCATTGTATGGCATCATTCTCAACATAGCGTTCTTACGCTCGAGGCGCGGCGCGTGTCTTGCCATGTTTTAAGTAGACGGGGAGAAGCTTAATCTCCACACCATCCCTCCGTCTGTGCATTATCAATTCATTGACAGTCAGTCCCTTACAAGGTAGCCACTCGTGTCCAGCGTCGCCGACTTATGGCTTATCACGTTCTCAATTACCAGACATCAACGCGATGAGGTTGCTCGACACAGACACAGGCCTGTTCGTCTGGGTCGGTGATCCTAGGACAGCGTCATACGCAATCCTGTCCCATGTGTGGGACCGAGAGGGCGAGCAGACATACCAAGACCTACTCCGACTTCAGCAATCCTTCCTCCCTGTCATCGGCACAAGGCCGATCCTTCTTTGGATATGGGCCGCTCTCTGGTGGCGCATTCTCCTCGCAATATCCTTCCTACTCTCCGTCGGCCGCGATGTCGTGCACCGCCGACAGTTGATCGACTCTCTGCCGTTTCGCCACATAGCGCGTGAGGAGACGCTAGAATACTTGGCTAGATGGCTGGCGGGCTGGGTCGTCGTTACCCACGGAGCTGCTGTCGACATCCGTTCGCGCCGTACGTATCTTCACGGCAACATGATCTCCGAGAAGGTACGACGTGCGTGTCAAGTAGCGCGGGAGCAGGGCTACCGGTACATCTGGATCGATTCGTGCTGCATCGATAAGATGAACATCCCCGAGTGCTCACGAGCGATCAGCTCGATGTACTCTTGGTACAGAGAGGCTGCGGTCTGCTACGCCTTCCTCGCGGACGTTGGGATGAAGGACAGCTTCGTTTTTGAATTCGCGGATTTCCGCAAGAGCAAATGGTTCACGCGCGGCTGGACGCTCCAGGAACTCATCGCGCCACAGGTTGTCTTGTTCCTGTCGGCAGATTGGCGCGCCCTCGGTTCGAAATCCACTCTCGCTGCCGTGATCGAGGACGTCACCGGCGTTGAGCGCACCATCCTGCGCAAGCAGAAGGCACTCGCCACCGTCAGCGTCGCCAGGCGCATGTCCTGGGCGGCCAAACGGCAGACGACCGTACTGGAAGACCGCGCGTACTCGCTGCTCGGTATCTTCGACATCAACATTCCCACTTTGTACGGTGAAGGAGGACGCGCGTTCATACGTCTACAGCAGGAGATCCTGAAGCAACATCCAGATCAAAGCCTCTTTGTGTGGGGGAAGATCAATCTGGAACCGCTCTTACCCCTCGTTGACGACTCTCCGTCATCCCAGGGCAGGGTTCAACGGTGCTGGCGCGAGCCGGAACCCCATGTAGCCAGCTCTCTTCTCGCTCACTCCCCGGACGTTTTCGGGTGGTCAAAGGGGTTCATTCAAGATATCCCGTATGATATCTTCCTCCATCGCATTGGCCTCCCCGACTTCACCTTGCCCGTGTACTATGAAACCCCCTACGGCATCCGTGTGGATGTCCCCTTGTTCAAACTCAGCGACGTACTCCCGTCGGAATCGCTCGAACAACAGTCGCAAAGCGGAGACTGGTACATCATCCTTCTCGCCTGCGAACACCGTGGGCATCTACTCGGTCGAGTCTGCTACGCCCGCCCATCGCAAATCAATGTGGCCATCCTCGCGTCTGGGCAGCTAGCGATCACTACCAGCAGCCAGCCCGAGCTCTCCAGCCCCAAGTATGGCATCATAGCGCTTTCCCCGGAGTTCCTCGAGCGTTGCCGCTCGAAGCTGCAAGTCAAGACCGTGTACATGCCCCTGCCGCATGTGTACACAAACTTGGCCTTTGTCGTTCCCCCACCCGCACCGCCTCCTGGGCAGCAGATTCTGGCGCTGGCGAGCTGGGTTTACCCCGCACTCGCTTCCCAGGGTTACAGTATCCTGGCAGGCACAACCGTAGACGAGCATCATGCCGGTACCCTCCTGCTCGTGCGCGGCCCAGCCGACTGCATCGGAATTGCGTACAAATACACTCCAGAGCGGCAGACCGTACAGGTCTCTGCTACGATGATGGGCACCTATATCGATGTCGCACGGGGAGTCAGTAGACCTGGGCCGTCGGACTGGTTGACGTGGATGCTCTACGCCCGACGAATTGAGTTCCAGGAGCTGCGTTTCCGGACCAGGGAGGGCAAGGACGTGGTGGTGCGCATGAACCTGGAGCGAATGTACGATCATACCCCACCGCTGCGCTTGGGCATCGACGTGATTGAGCAGGATACCGGAGTACGGTATATGCGAGCTGAAGTTTCGCCTAATGCTACCGATAGCGAGGCGTCACAGGGTGGTACAACACCAGTAGGCTCTTCGTCGTAGACTCGTTATTCTTTTATCTCCGGGGCAACAGCTCAATCATGGAGAGGGTGCGATCGGCGTTCACTAACGGCGACTTTGTGTGTTCAAAATTTGATCCTTCGAGCGAACCGGACTGGGGAACCTTCGTCAAATCCAAAGAGGATTTTCCGCAATGGAGCCACACGAAGGAGACTCGGAAACGGTACTTACGACTGGTCTTCCCGGACGCAGAGCGAGAGTATGCAGTTGCAGACCGAGACGCCCTATGCTATCCATCCTGCACGAATGAACTTGGGTCATGTGCACCATCAGCGATCACAACGCGTAGAAAGGGGGATCGAATGTATGTTGCGAAAGACGAGTGAACCATAGCCGTCACAGACGTTCAGCTTTCGTTACGAATGCGATCCTTCGCTCGTCGGGTTTCGGCTTTTCACAAACACGGTAGGAGACCTTGGTGCTATTCAGCGAGATTGTGCTTATTGAGAAAAACTGAGGTCCGTTCGAAGTACGAGATAATTTGTATACATAGAAGCACTAGCTTCCTCCTTTCCTCGATTCCAAGGATGGCCTAGCGTGTCTAGGGAGGTGGTGATCGAGGATGGTTTGAGGGAGATGTTCAAGTGACATCAGACAGCATACACTCACCGCTCCCGGGAGGGGGATCACTGGCAGTGTACCTTCGTAAACAGCACCACGAAATATCGTGATGTCGAAGCCAAGCGTGAACCAGCGATCCCTCGAAACGGAGAGGCGCAGAAGGCCTTCTATGATTTCCGGGACATTAGGCCGGGTCTCGATGGTGTCTGTGAGTCTCCCTCTGAGCTCGCCGAGAGGGATCTGAGGCAGAAGCGGAACCTTTACATAGCCTTCGATGTCGACGTCGTTCCAGATGTGGTCGATATACCCACGGAGCTAGACGAGGCGACAGCATTCAACAGGCGACTCGTTGGGAGCAAGCAGAGTGAAGAGAATGTGCTCGGCCCGGATCGAGGGACATACCTGCAGGATGAGTGGGCCAATTGGGATCTCTACGTCAAGGTCCACCTTCGAGTCATTCTCCGTACTGAAGATCGGACGACTGCCATTGACGAAGATGTGGTATTCGTTGCCATTCGTGAAGGCAACCCTGTGATAACCAGCAAGCCATCGTTTTAATGCGGCTATCCAGAGAGAGATTGTCAGCTTCGCGATGGCTGCGGGGCGAGGGCGTTCCTACGAGGGCGGGCAGCGACGTCTGATAACGTATCCCAACAGTTAGCTCCAGCCTGCATGTGCAGGATCGAAATGATGTGGCTCACCAGGTCCCGGTGGAGCGATATCAGAAATGGACGTAGTCATTGTGTTAGGAACTACCGAGAGGTTGTCAAGAGTAACGCTGGTCTGTAGGATCGGTAGACCTCATGAGGTCTCTTATATCCGACTCATGGCCATTCAAGGGGCGAGGCACAACGTTCCTACCTGAAGACAGATCTGAACGTTCTTGATGTGTCGGGGTGACAGATGGCCAAGCCAATAATACAACTTTCCGAGAAGCGCGGTTGTATGTGAGATGGTCCTTCGAACAAGCCCTCTCGTGCCTGTGATTACACCACTGCGATTCCGGCCGCTGCATCAGTGGTTCCATAGGATGTGAAGCTCTCACAGGTTAAGAGGTCGCAACACCGGACATATTATCGGCTCCTGTGCTTCCAAGTATATACAGTACACCATAGCCTAACTTCACTGCACCCAAGAAACTCACGCCACCTATCGCGAAAACGGCCAAATGCACAGCCCATTAGCTCGACTCAGAGGCTCTCGCAGAACAGCTTCCCGCGGGCCACCTGCGCCCTGCACAGCTCGATCTCCGTCGGGACCGCGAGCAGGGACGCCATCAGGATGCCCGACGAGTCGGCCAGGCCGATCGAGCCGATCTTGAACTCGCGCTCCTGCTTCGCTCGCTCCGCGTCTGCGCCCGGGGCGTCGTGCTTCTCCTGGTTTATGCGGTAGAAGACGTTCACACTGTGGGTCCGACTCGGTGTCAGCTGGGAACCAGGACAACGGGAGAGGAGAGAGTGAGGAAAGGGAAAAGAACTGACTAGGCGAGACCGCCGCAGATGCCCTCGACGCTGATGAGGAGGAACACCAACGCGAAGCTCACGCCTTCGTGCTCGTCGCCGAAAATGCCCACTGCCGACTCGAACGCGAGTGTGGTGAGGATGAAGCCCTGGACGATCGCCGGGGCGGACAGCAGCCTGCCCGGCAGTGCGGGCAGGCCAAGCGTGATGGACGATCGAGAGAGGAAGACCGACGTCTGGTATACGAGCTGCATGCGAGAGGTGAGGGCCCGTGACTGCGAAGAGGGTCACACGGGTAGCGTACCTGCCAGAGTGGGTAGTAGTCGCGGATGGACTTGATGATCTTGCTCATGAGCCAGTGTTTGTCTGGTCCAGGGACAGGGTAGACGAGCGTCGGAGCAATGCCCTGGTTGATCGTGTACTCAAACTGAAACACCGTCAGTACGATCGCAATGCAAGGGACACACATGACCAACCAGGTAGACGCAGACTGCGCAAGATGTTCAGCATAGACACGCTCAAAAAGCACGGATCTGCGACGTACACAAGGGCAGCATGTACTTCGTTAACATCGGCTTCGCAAGCCTCCACTTGTCTTCGATCGACAAAGCGATGGGTGCAGTGACAGTAGCTTCCGACTCCGTCATAACGACGGAATCGTCTTGGTCAGCTTCGTTAGGCAGTCGCGTGTAGGATGCAGCCAAAGGCTCCCCGTCCGCCTCGTCGTCGTAGGCCAATTCTGGAGCGAACCTGTCTGGGCGGGGGAGGATAAAGAAGTACGCTATCGGTATGACGAAGGGTAGAATCTATGAATGGTAAATCAAGATAATCACTGTTTTATGTGGCGCAAAGACCTTACTGAGGAAAGACCGACTCCGAGACGCACACCTAGCCCACGGAGTTCCCACCAAAGGAATGCACCGACAAGACCGGCGCCTCCAGTGCCTGATGCAAAATAGCTGCAGCATGTAAAGATGTCAATCCCAATTGCTGCGTTGAGACAGCCGGGGTGCTTACCCTACACTGTGGCCCGCGACTGTTGGCGGGTGGTATCGTGTAGAGAGCTGCAAGAATGTCAGTTCGCCAAGACCTGCAGGTTCAACCTGTCAACACATGATCATCGTATGCGCGCCGTCAGCATACACCAAGGTTCAATTCGTATGCGTCGTTCAAGACAACATGTATCAGAGAAGGTATAAATAATAGGCACGTGGAACGCTTCCCAAGATGACGGGGCATAGTTCGCCAGGTACAGATGAGTTTGGGTACTCACCAGACGAAAAGGATGCAAAGCATATCCCCAGCAGTCTCATGTACAGGGTATCAAAGAGGGCAACCACCAACATGCCCCCGACGCTGATGGCAGTGCATCCAATAAGTCGGCGTACGTAGTGTATCCGTCCCTTGAGCAAGTACGGCCATCCAAGCTTTGCGACGAGGGCTGGGAAGATGTTGCAGAATGCAATTATACCCTTGGGGGTGGATGGGGGGACAAGGTCCAATGCGGCAGAGAGAATGATAACATAGAGAACTGGGAGGAGGTGGGTCGTCGCGAAGTCTTTGAGAAGGACGGAGATAGACGCACCATTGTTGATCAACCCAAACAAGAAGAATGATGCTCCTAGTTTGAATGATGCTCCTAGTTTGAAGAGTGTTCTACGGTACTCTAGCGAGATATCGGAAAGTCAGCCATGAGATATGCGAACAGGAGGTTGTGACATTACAGTCCCGCGACAGATGCACGCCATCATACACAGTAGTCGCACAGGCTCCTTCGTCCCTGCTCGTGTCAATCAGACTCGCACAGCACCTACCTGACTTATGAGCACCGTCAGGCGAGCCAAAGTGTTGAGACATGGGTGCCTCGGCGTCCTCCTCGTCATCTCCCTGTCGTCGGGTCATCGAGGTATGTGATGCTCAGGGTAAAGCGAGCTGCCGGCCGGCCAGACGGTACTCTAATGACACTGGTCCGCAGAGGAGGATTAAGAGGTCCTCGATTGTGGCAGAAACCAAGAAAGGCACTGCGGCACCGTGGCCCAGCTTCGGGGTCCACGTGGAACGGCTGTGCTCCTTCCCCGCGCCCGGCGAGGCCTTGGCTTGATGGGCGGGGACCCGGCAACGTCTCAACCGGCCTCACTCAGCCCGACCCTCACGCGGGGAACATGATATTCACCTCCAACCCCACAATGCAATGACCCGCCTCTTCCTTGTCTGCCGCCATCAAGACGTTCGCGATAATCCGCCTGCGAAGTGTCGGAGGTGCAGGCGAACCATTGCGACGTATAGCTGTGATATCGTGCGTTCATGTTGTCCTTCAAAGCTGCTCGCTTGCTCACAAGTGGGACAGGCGTAGAGCGTCCCCGACATTTACACATATGGCCAGCAGACGTCTAAAGCATGTCCTAAACGGCCTGGCACCTCAGCCGCAGTCACTGGGTGTGTTGAAGCTCGGAAATATATCACACGACATCCTCGCGGCGTCCGACCCCAGCCGTCTACCCCATAGCGAAGACGTCCTACTAGATCCCTCCGACCCATTCAATCTCGATAACCTACACTTCCTACTACAGAAGTACTTGCTTGGACAGGACATATTCTTGCTCTCGCAGCCTGGTCCGTATGCGCGCCGCCTGGCGTTGACCTTTTGCCGGTAAGCCTCCTCTCGTGTTACGCGGGGACAATGCCACAGGAGAGTGTGGTGTGCATTTTTTCAGTCCGAGACGCTATCTCCATCACATCTTACCCATGGTCTCTTTGAACGAGAAGCACATTTGCTCTCGACTTTGCTCCTCTTGATTTGAAATTGAATGCTTATTATGAATGTTACAGTCTCATCAACTCAGAATATGAGTTTGTTGCTCTTCACCGTGACATTGGAGAGACGGAGTTGAAACAAGGGAGAGAGATTCGCGCTGGTGGGAACTTGGTCTACGTTGACAGCGCTGCAGTTCGTGCTGTGAAGAATGGCCGCGTGCTTATACTAGAAGGGATTGAGAAGGCTGAGCGTGGCATCATGCCTGTAAGTGCGATTTCGCTGTTCTGACACGAATCAATAATGACCAGCGTGTATTTCAACACAGGTTCTCAATAACCTTTTGGAGAACAGGGAGATGTAAAGTCTCACTACCGCTTCGTATAGGTTGCTCATGCTCATGTGTCATCCTCAGGAACCTCGACGATGGGACGCACATTGTTCACCCGCACCGACACGCGCTCCTCGACTCCGCTGAGACGGAATATAGTACGTTCATACCGGCGCACAAGAACTTCCGCGTCATTGCAATATCCGCGCCCGTTCCCCCATATCCCGGTTACCCTCTCGATCCTCCCTTCCGAAGCCGCTTCCAAGCACGCTTCGTCGACCCGATGGGTGCACTACTCGCTCTCCCACAGATGGGCGAACCAGTCGCCCAGTCTGTGTTTACCCTGCCACTGTATCAGAAGACACGGGACATCATCGCGTCAACGCAGATCGCTAGCGAGTCTCGTCATTCCCTCGACACTATCGCGCGGTCTTCTCTCCCTGCCTTTCCGCAGACAGCCCTTGCCAAGGTGACAGCGCTGCTATCACTCTTCCCTCCCCCAGACACGCTATCTCCGGAGCAACTCGCCCGCTTCGTGCTCTCCATTCACCCTGCTCTGATCCACAGCCCGTTCGTTGCGTGGGCGATGCTCTCCCGGCAATTCGAGGCAGCAGGGCTCGGCGAGCTGGGCAGCCCGAACCTGACAGGGACCGAGGACGACGCAGGCCTGCTTGGCTACCGTCTCGCACGGATCGACCGTGTCGACGACCGCACCGCGCGTGTGCAGTTTGATCACCCGTCGCTCAACAACAAAGTAGAGGTCGACGTCCCCGCAGGCCCGCAAGAGTACCTGTCCTTCCCCTTCGCGAACCCCGAGTTCCTGTCGTTTGTCCCCAGCACGCGATTCATGGGCTTGCTCACGTCCCTCCTCCAAGTACACGCGCTGGGTTTCGACATCTCGTACGCGCCCCCGGCGCTGCCGTCTACCGCGTCGTGCTCGACGACGACGCTCGTACGCACGTTCGCGGCCGTGCTCGGGTACGAGCTCGAGGACGTGCACATGTACAAGGAGCTCGGCGGACGTGAGCTCGTCATGCGGCGGAAGATCGAGGCAGACGGGGGCGCGACGACGTGGGAGCCGGCGCCGCTTATCGAGGGGGCTTGGATGGGCAGACTGGTGCATCTCGCGGGGCTGGACGTGATTGGGTCGACGGCAGGCTCGCTTGCGAGGCTGGTGCAGGATCGGGAAGTGGAGTTGTGGGAGACGAAGCGTATCGTGCGGCGTATTCTGGATGGGGAGGTGAGTCGCCAGACTATGGATATCATCGTAATGGTCGGTGCTGACCGCAGTGGGCACATACAGGCGCCTTCGCCGGACCTGTCCGTAGCGCACACGTCCTTCCGCGTGATCAGCACCGCGTCCAAGTCGCTGCCTTTGAAGGACTGGCTCGGAGACGAGCACGCGAACATGTTCTTCGCCGTCCCCGCGCAGCCCATGTCGCATGCTGAAGAGGCACACATTCTCCTCCAGACAGGCTGTCCGTCTCGCGTCGTCGACACGCTCCTTGCGTTCGCAGATAGGTATAGGACCAGCATGACGTCGGACGCGGTACAGAAGAATCGGAAGCTCGGCACGCGCGCGCTCCTGCGCATCGCACGGCGCGTCGCACAGTTCCCCGCAGCGGGCGATGGCGCGGGTGGTGGAGAGACAGAGGGCACGGGCACGGACCTGCATGTGCTCCTCAGCCGCGCAGTGCTTGCGGAGTTCCTGCCCGCGACGGAGGCGATGAACCTGCGGAACATCTTCGAGGAGACCGGGATCAGGAAGCGGACTCCAGCGGTGAGTTCATGTCTCGGTTATTTTCGCAGTTCCGCCATGTTTTCCCATGTTCCCTGCTCCATCGACTTTCCCTTTGCGCGTTGCGGAAGGATCCGCAGCCGGTCTTCTCGGGCTCGAAGACAGACGCTGATCATTTGTGCGTGTTTACGCGTGTGTCTCGCAGTTCAATCCTCCACCCGAAGTACGCGACGGCGGCGTGTGGTTCCCACCTGCCAGCGGTCCGCAGGGCAAGGATGCCGCCGCCACATTCATTCCCTTCTTCGACCGCAAACAGGATCCCGAAGGCGTGTCGCATATCCCGTATATGGATCATTTCTACGACAATAGCCTGCAGACTGGCTTGATGCGTGATCTAGCGATAGACCTAGAGGTGTTAGGCGAGCATTTGGTTTTGCTAGGTAATCAGGTAAGTACGGTAGGTTGACAGTTCTGAGTCGCGTAGTGATGTGTGCATTAGGGAGTTGGCAAGAACAAGATCATCGACCGGTAAGTATTCCCTGCTACATCATATTAGTGCTCACGCGCTGACGTTGCACTTCTTGCAGCCTGTGTCAGGTAGTGTTCTCAGCTATTGACTCAGTCTCTGTAATGCTGATGGCGTAATAAGCTCCTGGGCCGCCCTAGAGAGTATATTCAGCTTCATAGAGATACCACAGTCAATCAGCTAATGTTCCAAACCGTACTGGAGAACGGCGTCATTCGGTACACCGACTCGCCACTCCTCCGCGCAATCAGCCTTGGTAGAGTCATTGTGATAGACGAAGCGGACAAGGCTGCAGAGCACGTCGTAGCCATCTTCAGGAGTCTCGCGGGCCATGGTCAGCTTACGCTCGCCGACGGCCGACGTGTACGGCACATCAAGGAGCGCGACGGAGACATTGTGGTTCACCCCAACTTCCGCCTCATTCTCCTCGCGAATCGTCCGGGATATCGTACGTCACCGCAGTCATTGTCGATCGTATGAATTACCATCTTGACCCAATTTACTAGCTTTCCTTGGGAACCATTTCTTGCAAGTGCTCGGCGACAACTTCTGCTGCCACGCAGTCACCAACCCGGATATGGCGAGCGAGAGGAAGCTCCTCTCCCAGCTAGCGCCTCAGATCAGTGAGGACATGATCCTTCGGCTGGTGGCTGCGTTCCAGGACCTTCGGCGCGCTTATGACGCTGGTACCGTGACATACCCGTATTCGCTCCGAGGCAAGTGCTCCTGTGTGCGCTGTATGAGAGCAAGAAGAATGCTAACGCTGACAGCAGAGCTGCTGAACCTCGTCCGCCATATGCAAGCATACCCGAACGATTCACTAGAGGCGGCATTGCGTAACGTTTTCGACTTCGACATCTACAAGCCGGAGACAATCTCCAAGCTTGCGGACATCTTGGATCACAACGGGTACGGATTGTGCTTGATTTACACCGGTACTGCTCCTGAGTTCATCTTCGCAGGCTGGTAGTCAAGAAGCTCGGTATCAACGCGGCGAGGGAGGTGACCGAGAAGAAGGTCCTTGACTTGAAGTTTGAGCCGAAGGGCGATACTAGCCTTAAGGAGCCAAAGTTCGGCAAAGAAGACCCTGATAATGAAGCGCACACCGGTGGTAACACCTGGGCCGGAGGAGTTAGTCATTGCTTGACATCAAGTACTCGCTGTTGCTGATACAACATAGACTGGTGGGCGCGACACGGCAGGTCTGGGGGGTCGAGGAGGATATATGCGCCTATTCAAAGGCCACGATATAAACCAGGCAAGGGTTGGAGATAGCGAACTGCGGAGATGTAGAACTAACTGAGCCTCAGGTCTCCGATGCTCTCAAGAACGACGTTCCCGATCATGTCAAGGAGCAAGCGCGTGAAATGGCTCGTCAAGAGCTAGCGAGACGCCTTGAGGAGCTCAACATGAGCTCTGGGGAGGCAAAACTCTACGGCTCTTTACTCGCTGCCGTCGAAGGTCACATCACCCAGTTGCATGACCTACTTGAAAGTTAGTTCTTGTGCTATACGCAATTGCTGTTTCGCTGACTGCTGGCGTCGACGTAGATCTCGCTGCGCGTGAAGAGGAACGCGTTTGGGTGAAGCGGCAGACGGACGGGGAGCTCGACGACAGTCGTCTGACCGAAGGCTTAACAGGCGAAGCGACTGTGTACAAGCGGCGCGGTATGGCGAAGCCCGAATTAGGTCGCCCGCAGTTGAAGTAAGTCACAACACTGCTGTTTGCAATTCCTCTATTGATATTGATATTCCTCAGGCCGAAGCGGATCCGCTTCTTATTCGATGTTAGCGCGTCTATGTGAGGAAACTGCTGGGCCAGCAAGGAAGAGTGCTGATTGTACGGGACAGGTACCGCTTCCAAGCCGATGGTCGTCTCAAACGCAGCATGGAAACAGGTACATTGAAATTCGTCGGATGTCAAACGTAGTATGTAACTGACTTTTTGCAGCCGTGATGTTGATGGAGACCTTTGATAGGCTCACGCGAAAGGAGAAATACGTGTGGGATGTCAGTCAACGATTGACATCTACATTACCCCCTCAGCTAACGCTTAATTCTTTAGATTTACGGCCACGTAAGGCGAAGTCCAGGATGCTGTATCATATGCTGACTATTCTCCTTAGTCCGGTGATTCCGCCGAGATGCCCTTGGTCGAGGCGGACAAGCCGCTAGAATTGAGGGATAGGTGGAAAGTCGTAGACAAGATGGAAATGATCACCCAGTATACCTTTGCCGGAGACTACACACGTATGTCGTCTAAATTGCGGCGCCCAATTGGACGCTCACACTGCCTTAGTGGAAGCGATCGACAAAGCAGTCGCGGAAGTCGCCAAGTTTGATGGAGGTATGTCTGGCTTCCACTCTAGAAGCTGATCGTCTCGGAAGCTGAAGATATCACCACAGATGAATACTTCGTCATCGCTCTGACAGACGCTAATTTCGCCCGATACAACATTACCGCCGAGGAAATTCAGCGCGTCATGAATCGCAATCCCAAAGTACATACGGCGCTGATCTGCATTGGCGAAGGTGCCGAAGCTGCATGGTGAGGCCTCTCTCAATATGGAAATGAATTGCGCTCAAGCCGTATCACTATCCTCCAGGATACCGAAGAACCTGCCTGGACGAGGTTATCGGGTTTCCAACACGGCAGACATTCCGGCTGTGTTTCGGAGTATCCTGTCAACGATGGTCGACCGCTGATTACCACACGTTGCTAGCGATCTCTTTCTACTCGAGAGTGTCACGAGTTGCAGAATGTCACGCATGCAATTGCACATCCGAACTCATGGATCATGCTCGTCTTGAGTTCCGCTTTTGTGTTTTGAGTTCCACGGGAGGTACTGAGCAGGTGGCGATTCAGGTCATGCTGTACGTCGCGGTGTCTTCCGTCTTGTCTGTCAAAAGATGCGCTTTGGATGATCATCCAATTCGAAAGTGTCGCTGCGCGAACCTCCGCGTATGAGGCGCAGTCCTTTGCGCGGGCCGCAGTGACCTTGCAGCGCTTGATGGCGGTACGGACCGACACCAATGTGACGCGCCCATCAGCTGCAACCGTTCTGCGCTGCCACGAAAGGAACTGGTCGCAGGACAGGATTGAAGTTCAGCGCAACACACGGTGCTTGTGGCAAGATACCACGCTCGTGTAGTGGATTGGCATGCCAGATTTCGCAGCACTCACAGATCATGAAGGGGAGTATATAATCCCTTGGGCCAGTTGGCAGGAAGACCATCCTCACCCCACTTTCAAGTTCTACATACCATCGACCCGGCGTCGAAAAGCCTACTTTAATTCCAGTGCTTCTTCACCTTCACTTGCTACTCTTCACAGTTCTTATCTGTCGCAATGGCCCGCTTCTTCGCCACCGCTACGTTCTTGACCTATGTTTCTCTCGTTGCCTCTGGACTTGCCCATGCAGGTGAACGCAGCATTCATCCTTGCATACCACAGCAGTGTCTCATATTCGTTTGTGCTCTGCAGCACCCGCCCGTCGCCAGCTAGGCAACCTCGAGTGCAACATCGACCGTGCCGAGATCATCTTCCACGTCGCCACACTCTCCGGCGTTGTCAACACTCTTGGGAACAACACGAACCTTGTTGCCGCGTATGCAGTCACGTCCACCCTTGTCAGGAGCTGAAGACTGATACTCAATTGACAACAGGAACAACACGGTCGATGCCGACGTCATGGCTTTGCAGTCGGGCACCCAGGGCGCGGGTGCTGCCATCAAGCAGATTGTCATTGCGCTCATCAATGGCGAGGTCGCTGACCCGGACTTGCGGGACCAAGTTGGAGGCAATCTCACCGTCATTCAGGGCGCGTTGGGCGATCTTTCCTCGTGGGTCCCTGCTTCGTACCGTACGAAGTGAAGTGACTAACAATGATTATCTTGGACCGTAGCACGGACAACAGCACCTCCGCGTTGCTGGACATGGCGCTGACCGAGTTCACCAACTCGGTGAACGCAGCGAACGGCGTTGTCAACAACTGCAAGTAACCGGAGGGAGAGCTCGCGTCGCGCGTCTCCTTCAGGGTTTGAGACATGAGTTGAAATTCGCTGGACGATGTTTAAATGGACAATATGATTATACGATCAGTGATCTCCTTATTGTTCAAATACTATTGCGGCGGGAGTCATACTCCGTTGGCGAGCCCATTGTGTGCCGTAAAACCCGGTGCGGGCTTCCTAATCGCTTCATTCGAATGCCCATAGCCTCCCTAAGATGCCTAAGGGCCTGTTCGGCAAAGAGTTGGAGTTACGAGTCACCGGCATTTTGTCACGTGGCGGCATTTCCGAGGATTTCTGCGCGAGTTAGAGTTACAGGGGCGGAGTACCCGTGAAGTCCGGAGGAGACAAGCGCCCTGAACTCGTAAGGTTGGCCCAACGAAGATTCGACACCTCCCGTCACGCCTGTCACACTGTCCGTGTCCCGCCCCTCCACTGCGATTTCGGGGTATCGGCTCGTATAAAATTGAGCTATAGGCTCTGTGGTACCATACATGCCGCCTATCCAAGTTTTTTCCTCAATGCAGAGGGAGGGGAAAGCAGCGAGGGACCTCGCAAGCTCATGTGATAATCACGTGATGGGGTCGAATCTTCGTTGGGCCAACCTTACATGTATCTAGTATACCAATAGCTATGGCTTATCAGATGGGCTCTGCTTCATCCCTGCTTCACCATGGTCCACACAAGAGCAGCTGTCTAAATTCACCAAGCTATCCATCAGGCTCAAATAGAGCGCCGAAGACAGGCTATTATAGCAGTAACTGTCATTGTTTTGACTGGGCGGGCCTTGGTAGTAGCCTGCCCTAATCCCTCAAGTAGGATGGTCTCGGATGTCTGATCACAATCTACGCCGGTCATGGTAGCCATCCCAATACTCTATAGAGAGAGAATCAAGCGAGATAATTTATGACCTGAGCTGATAACAACCGCCCGGAGTTAGTGGGAGGCATCCGAACGCATGCACTCGCCCGAGTAACTTGAGTTTTCTCGAGATTGAAAACCGAGATATTATTACTATATTTGGGCATGAAATGCCGGTAACTCTAACTCCAACTCTTTGCCGAACAGGCCCTAAGGGCTTCCATTTCCTCGTACTTCCCCAAGTGCGCGAGACACCAACCGCAATGAAGCATCACCGCGTGAAGCGCCAGATTATGGAGGTTGGGGAACACAGAGAGGATGAGCACATTACCGCCACATTCCCAGCTTGTTCCCACTACATTCCGCAGGTTTAGAGGATGTCGTGGTATTAACTGCCTTCCGCTCACATTCCGACCATGTTCCTATCACAGTTTTCTCATGCCACGTGACCTAGGGGTCATGTGAACCAGGACAGAGGCCCACCTTTACCACGAGCAACTCGTATCGGAAAGTGGAGGAGCCAGGATCGAACCCAGGACCTTGTGGGGTCCGGGAGCGCCCATCCTCACTCACTGGCAGGTGACTCACGCGTCAGCAGGGGTGCTTACTCATCGGAAGGAGCCCGGACTTAGCATGACTCAGGTATCAGTCATGAGGACATCATGTGACAGGTCAGGAGGCAGGACATGAGTCAGCAGACTCTGACCAAGCAGGGACAAATAGGTACCTGGTCTGTGCACCATTGCATTTGTATAAATAGTAGGGAGTCTGAGGCAGGGAACCTCAGACTTGATCTTCTCGTCGATTCCCCATCTCCTCTGTAGGTAGCTAGCAGCCCTACCTTCTACTGCCCCTTCTAGTCTAGGGAATTCACATCTTTGCATCATATCTTGCTGTGTCACTTGTGGTTGCTTCGCTCCCAGCACCAACCCCTTCACCAGTAAGCTTTGTCTTTGTTTATCTGGTGGCACAGCGCGTTGGCTGTGACAGTTCCCCACATATTACTTAGACATTCCGCACCCTGTGTAACATGGGATCTGTTGAACTTGGACTTATCCGGTCCGGACTACACGAGGCTATGCGTCTCCTAGTGCTTAGCTGTAGTCGCTTATGTAGTATGTTACCATATTTGGGACTCTCTGCTCATGTACTATAGCTATGCTTCCGGACTCTTCTGGTACTGTCTAGGACAATCCGTACTACTCCAGAACGGTCTAGACAGGTCTATGCCTTACTCATCTCTTACTCATCCTATGGTGCGATACGTCGCAATTCTTTCACCATCGTATTATTCATCGCACTATGGTACATGTGACTAACCACTCTTCGATTAGTCATGGACACTTCTCTGTAGTATATAAGGACTTCAGATTGTGTCCTCCCTCTTCAGTCTTTCCTTACTGACTGAAGAGTGAGTACTTCGTTACCTTTACCTCTAACTTGTAGTTACTTACTTAACCTTTGTAGTCTTGCTTCGACTCTAGGTACAGTTCGTTGCTGCAATATAGTCTTTCCTTACTGACTGAAGATCT